GAAGAACGACTGGAATAAATCCTGATATGTTGCACGAGTGAAATACTAATTGTTCGTTTAATTCACCCAAAGCGTGCGCTGAGGAATAAACGAATCCTGCTGAGGTTTGGTTTAAAGGGACACGAGTTGTTTTCATGTTTGTTGTTGCAGTTCACCTAAACTTGCTTTGTTTTCCGGCTCGTTTGTGGATTTATTCTCGGGGGGAGTGGAAGCGATCCACTTCACTTCTTTGACTTTTGTCCCCCTGAAGACAAAACACAGTTAAAGGGTCCGAGTCTGCAGGACGCCTGTGCGACGGTGTTGTGTTATAATACTATTGTAAAACTGAAAGCAGCAGTTTGAAATCCACTGTAAAGGTGTGTGTGTGTGTGTGTGTGTGGGGGGGGTTTCAATTATCTTCACAGATCGTGACCCTGAATTTCCCCTCGCGCTCTTCAGATTTCAATTTGGGCGCAGCCCACAGTAAAGCGCCGCAGCGGCTCTGTCGTGTTCAAACTCGTGCTTTTGTGCGCGAGCGTCACATCTACACCGCGGAGGCTCCAGGTCGCTGACGGCGTGACGGAGGAGGATGTTGTGCGTGAGCCGGGATGCGACAATCAAGAGATTAAAAACAAAAACCCAAAAAAATCTGAAAACACAAGAACAGGGGAAAAAAAATTAGATAATCGAGAAACTCTTCTTTTGTTGCTCCATTCTTCATGTTTTCTCCTCTTCTATGTTTCCAGCAGCAGCGGCGGTGGCGGAGGCGATGGAGGCGAATCTTATTCACACCTGAAATGGACAGAGGGGAGGAGGGGGGGAGGAGGGTAAAAAACACATTAAAACCTGTCAAATGTTCGGCGGCACAAATGTCACGAGAACAAAAAATGAAAACAAAGGCAAACAAAAAGAGGCAGAGAGCAGCGAGTGAGCGCGCGGGGATTAAAAAGCAATCGTTGATCCCGAGTCGGCGTTCCAGGCCGCCCGGTGCCGCCGGGAACTGGGACACGCTGTGAGAGAACAGCGGCAGACCCGAGCGGCCGCGGCGCGCTCGCTTAATCTGTGTAAGAGCAAAACCACGCCGAAGATTAAACGAGGCCGGCGGTCGCTGTGATTACAAACACAGTTTTATATGGCGGGACAGCGAGCGGCTCGTAAACAGCAGGTGACCTGTGGGTAAACTCCAGCCAGCTGCTGCTCGTCAAACAGCATCGAGTAACTGATCATCAGCAG